CCTCCTGCTGCGCCTCTGCAGGCCCCAGGGGGGTCGGGAAGAGGGCCTGGGCTGTAGCAGATGCTGCCAGGGCCAGCCTGCAGAAAGCACAGCCAGGCTTGCAGCAACATGTCCAAAATGAGCACCAGAGTGGCCAGGGGCAGCTCTGGTTCCATGATGCCAAGTGCTGTGGTGTCCTGAGTCAGGGCAACCAAAGTAGGCAGAGACAAAAATGCTTTGCTGTCCCTCAGCAAGGTAGGCAAGCAAGCAGGGAAAACTGAGAACCGGCTGTCCAGGGGGGTCCCTTTAAGCACAAGCCTCAGATAGCCTCAGGTAGCAGCCACACAAAGTAACTCCTGACCTGATGCCCTGCTGGAACTGGTTTCAACTGCCCTTAAATGCAATTCAGTGTCCAATCAGTGTGGATGAGCTATTTCAAAATAGCAAAACACTATTTTGTATGTAGATGTATTATTTCAAAATAACTTATTTCAAATTAACTAACAAAATAAGATATTTAGAAATAACACTGTAGCAAGACATACCCTCTGTGTGTTTGTGAGAGAGAGAGAGAAGGAACATACTTCAGTTATGGGTTCACCTTACATAGTGATCTGATTAAAACAGATGAATGTTTAAAGGCAACCACTGTACGCTTAGGCTTAGGACAATATTGAAATCTAATAAGTACCCTTACTCTGACCTTGATATCATGTTATATTTCACTATGACCAAAAAAAGAGCAGGGACATGCTGCACTGCATCACAGAGCACAGCCACAAAAAAAGGAAGGGTGGATGGTGGTAGATAATTCACTGTGATAATCATTACTTTGGGACAAAGCCCAGTAAAGTTAATGAAAAGGCTCTCATTACTACAGTGAGTTTTGAATCAAGTCTAAGAATCTTTCTCCTTTTTTTTTAACTGTGGAAAAAGTTGTCCTCTAGGGCATCCTTCCTAACCACTAAAATTCAGTCAGCTGTGAAATGGTATATGGTTTAGGGGAGGAACTGGAAGATACCATATTTGGGGAGGGGGTTATTTTGAAATTGAACTGTAGTGTGGGGGATGTCTGGAAAATAGAGGAAATCTCACTTTCCCCTCCTTCCTGTATTCCAAGGTCACTGATCTTTCTGTGTATCTAGTGGTAAGAGGTTTTCAGTTAAAATAGTCCAAATCTTGCATCCAGTGCAAACTGAATGAATTTCAATGGAATTTCACAGCAGATAAATCACTGCAGAATTTGACCTCCCTCTTCATAATGCAAATTTAATAGTAACAGTAATTAATATAACAAATCTCTGGCCAGTTAGCACTTTACCAATAAGCTCTCCTTATGTTTTCTCATGTCCAATGAATGAAGTGAAACCAAAATATATCAAACATTTATTCTTAAAAACACTCAGCTGTGATTATAATCTGAAATAACAGTTCACCAATGATTGTTTTAGGAGTTCCCTTAGAAAGCTTATTATATGAATTGAAGACTGTAATTAACAGTCTCTAGGATAATGCCTGACCCATTTGGAAGCAAATAATTTAAAAAGACTATACAATGTGGTTTAGCTAAATTCAGAGAGATAGAGCAAGTCCTTTTAAATGTTGTGAAATGAACATTTCCTGATCATTTTCATTTCCTTTAGGCAATCAAGATGAATTTAGAATACATATAGTACAGTAAGCACAGTATTACAAGTTGAAGACAATATCAGTTTTTCTATTGACATATTATTTACTACGTGTATTTGGAAACTATAATGAAAGTTTTATTAATAATATAGAAAAGCGAATACACCTGCTTTTAAAAAGCAAAATTATCTCATTTATAAAATGTGAAACTATTGGAAATGACCTACCTGTTTTCAGAGGTAGCAAATTTCCTTTGACAAACAATAACAGCTGGTGCATATTTCCCAGTATAATCCATGCTCTCTCTAATATCCCATAAGTATGGGTTGCTGGCTCTTACACTTAAAATATTCACACCTTTCTTCACCTTTGCCCTAAGAGAAACAAGAGAATTTGTCAACAATTAGATACAGAATTTCATCTCCAAGCTGTTACATAGATCTTCATTGTTTTCTCATTACTGGTCCTCTGGAGATGCTATAGCTCATTACAGATGGACCACATTAGTCAGAAGTAAAGGTATAATGGAATTTAATCTCCCCATAGTTTAAAAGAATTCTGCCAAGATAATAATGTTATTTCTATAGCGGTAAATAGAATTGTATTTACATTTTCTTCCTATAATACATTAGATCACTAAAACCAAAAGAATTTTAAAGATTTGCTACAATTTTTCACCATTTAAACTGCTTTGATTTTAAGTTTCTCCATGTCATTTTGACACTGAAACTAGCCTAATCAATTATACTTTCAGCCCTCATTGGTTTAATAGGCCCTGATCCTGCAAGCTCTTATGCGCATGCTTATCGGTACATAATGAGTGATCTAGTTTCAGTTAGACTGTTTACATGTGCAAAATTAAGTACACAATATTGTTCACCTACTTGTTTGCAAGATTGTGCCTTCAGAGATCATGGTGATGGGACTGATTATGACTAGAAAGACTAGGCTAGAAAACATGGTGATGTCACTAATGGTAGAAAGCGTTACAGGCTCTAAGATTTCCTATGGAATCTTTTAAAAACAGAGTAAAAATGCACATGGACAGAGCCTTCCCTTGAGCAGGAGAAATTGGGGTGACTGCCCATGAGGTCTGTCCCAGTATTTAGCCTTTTGTTCTGAATTGCAACAAATGAATGATCAGCAGGCAAAGAGGATATGGAGGCAAGCAGGGAGGCAGGTGAGGAGGTAGGTGGGCCGACCGAAAGGAGGAGAACAGCAGTTGGGTGGAATGGGGGGAGGAGCTGAATGGATAATGAGCAGATGAGCAGGTAGTTGAGTGACTAGCAGGCAAGGAAGTGAGCGGCAGGTGGATGGGAGAATGGGGATGAGGAGGAGAGTGGCAGACAGGTGAGTAGGAGCTCCGAGTGCGCAGTGAGGAGACTTGTAGGGAGGTTGATTTGTTACAGGCCCCACACCTTTGTAGGATTACCCTTGAGCACGGGATTCCTTCTATGAATTGGATATTCTAGGTCAGGAGTGAGCAAACTATGGACCATGAGCTACATCCAGCCAATCAGACCTTTTAACCTGGCCCTTGAGCTGGCACAGGGGAGCAGGGTTGGGAGCTTGTCCTGCTCTGGTGCTCCAGTAGGAGAGCAAGGTCAGTGGCTTGCCTCACTCCACTCATGCAGCAGTTCCACATGACTCCAGAAGCAGAGGCAGACAAGAGCCCCGTCCTACACTCTGAACCCCTTGGTCCCAGCCCAGAGCATCCTCCTGCACCCTGGACGCCTCCTTTTTTGGCTACGCCCCAGGACCTGCATCTCCAGCAGGAGCCTTCACCCATGCCTGTACCCCAAATCCAATTTTGTGAGCATTCTTCGTTGTCCACACAATTTCCATACTGAGAGGTCACCCTAAGGTCAAAAAGTTTGGCCTGTGACTGCAGTGATAGTTGTCACTATTTTATTCGTTTGAAGCAGAGTTTAGCCACTGTTTAGAAATTTTCTTAGCTTATCCATGACCATTATTATGTGGAGACCAGATAATTTGAGCTTAGAGTCTTCTATGCCAGTTTCACAATATGCTGCATTATAGGCAGGATGCTGTATCCATTTATAGCCCTATTATAAACATCCCTCAAGATGATGGACCAATGACCCTATCAGAACTTTGGAAATTACCTTAGAGTCCATGCAGGTTTACTAGAGACACTGTGCCAGAGTAAGACAAACAAAACAAGGTAGATTGAACTTCAGATGCAACTTCAACTAGTCCCAAAGACTGCAGTGATGGGAAATCTTTGTAACTGCTCTGTTTACTTTCTGTCCACTGGAAAGAACTAGTATAAGGCCCAAATGGGAGGTAGAATACCACATGCCTTTCATGACCTGGGCCTAAATGATTTCATTGGGTCTTGTGAGCACTCAGTAGCTCTCAGGATCAGGCAACTATGACTGTGAATTCATACATTCACACCCCCACATATGCCCCTGTTATAGTTTTCCAGAATGCTCACCTAAACAGCTCACCAAACTGAAAGGAGTAGTACTGCTAATTATAGCATGCCAGTGTGGGATTAGGACTTCCTGTTAAGAATGTCAGGCCACGTCTCCACTTATGGAAATATCAATACTGCGGCAGTCGATCTTCTGGCATTTCATTTAGCGAGTCTAGTAAAGATCTGCTAAATCAAACACTGAGCGTGCCCCTGTCGATGTCAGTACTCCTACTCCTCATGTGAAGTAAGGGAAGTCAGTGGGAGCATTTCTCCCATCGACCTTCCGCTTTGAGGACGCCGCCAAAGCTTGGCTTAAGGTACATTGACTCCAGCTACATTTTTACTTATCTGGACTTGCGTACCTTAAGCCAACCTTCCCCTGTAGCGTGCACATGGCCTCATATTAAGACTAGTCTACCTGCATAGGCCTGAATCATTGCTGCTCCACACTTAGCATAGCCATTGATACTAGTAAAAAATGGGTATGAATCTATATAAGGCACCTTTCTGTGCACACTCACTCCATTATGGAAGTAAGCACCTCACAGCATCATGTGAGGCAAGAGAGTGTTGCCCATGTTGCAACTGGGGAACTGATGCATAGAAATAGTATGTAACTTATCTAAGGGCTTGTCTATACTATACTGCCGTCAAAGTAATCTACATCAACTTCATCTATACATATAGTGAAGCTGAAATCAATGAATTTACCACTGTGTCTTGTGTGTGGTAAGGTTGTGGGGGCTGCTCTCCATTGAAGTCCCTTACTCTTTTCATTCTGGTGGAGTACCAGCATTGATGCCAGAGCACTCAGAGATCAATTTACTGTGTCTAAGCAGACATGATAAATCAACAGCTGATGGATTGATTACTACAGCATTGATCCCCAGCATAGTAGAGATAAGACCTAAGGTCACACAGAAAATCTGTTGCAGTTCAAGGGTTTGAATGCAGGTTTCCCATGTCCTTATTATTGGCCAAACTATCTTTCCTCCCTAGCATAACAGTAGCATTTTACACCCACTGTTGACTGAAGTAAATGAGTACCCAAAATGCATGCAAACAAAATCAGGCCCAATATATTTATAGAGCTGTATCTAGAGAAGTACGTTGCATGAATGCATACATCTGAGAGAGAGAGAGAGAGAGAGGGAGAGAGAGAGAGAGAGAATGTCTACACTGCAGTGTTTTTCTGGAAAAATGGCCGTTTTTTGGGAAAAACAATACTTGTGTCTACACTGCTATTGCATTTTTTCGACAAAAGGTCAAAAGAACGGAGAGGTTTTTCTGACGGTGGTAAACCTCTTTCTATGAGGAAGAAGCCTTTTCCAAAAAAGCTTTTTCAGAAAAAGGCATGTGTTGACAAAGAAGAGGGAATTCTGTCAAAAAAAAGAGACCTCCACAAACAATACAGGTACCCTGGTGGCCACTCTGTCCAAACTAATCACAACTCAATAGTTCCTGTTTCCTGCCAGCTCTTAAAGCTGCCTGTGACAAGCCAGGTGGCAGGAATTCAGCCCTAAGAGCTGCACCAGACCATGCGGCTCTCCCTGCCACCCAAATTTGGACCCATGGCCCAGCCACAACCCCTCGGAGAGCCTCCTGGCCCTCGCAGCAAGCACCACCAGAGGTCCCAGGAGCCAGCCAGGGGCAGCAAAAGGTGTGCGCTGTCTTGGTCTGGGGCAGAGATCCTGTCCCTCTTGGAGGTGTGGGATCTCCTGCAGGATCTCCACTCCCAGAAGCGCAATGCAGACATCTACAGCTGGACGGCCTAGGCTCTAGCTGCAAGAGGCTACCACCCATGGACCTTGGAATAAATCTGAAGCAAGGTCAAGGAGCTCTACCAGGGCTATGCCAGGGCAAGTTCCTTCCCCACTGTGGACTCAAGGGTAGAGACACCTGTTGTCACCCACCCAGGGCTCCCTGTTGAGGAGGAGGAGGAGGATGAGGAGGAGGAGGAGGAGGACAAGCTACAGGAGGAGGAGGATACGGTCAGCATGGTCACCCTCACCCTGGAGCCAGTACCCCAGACCCTGGATATCTCCCAAGCATCTTCTGAAGATGGGGAGGGATCACCAGGTGAGTGCTCTCAGTTTTTCACACACACAGGGTGGGGCAGGCTGGTGCAGAGGGGATGGGTTGCAATAGTCACATGGCCTGCTTGGCATGGATATTGTGCTGCAGTCAATGCACATGGAAGCACATGCTGTGCAGGTCTGTTCCACGCAGCCTCAGAAGGCAGCCCTGCAGCACCCCCAGGCTCCTGCTCACAGACTCTGAGGAGGTCACGCACATGTCTGACCCCACGGGCAGGGGTGCACACCCACCACCAGCCACCACTGGAAGCAGGCTCAGCACAAGGTCATACGCACACCTGCACACAGACCGAGGAGTGCCGCACATGACACATGGACATGCCTGCATGTGCAAGGCCCCACCCGCTCCTGCGGACAGCACTGCGAGGTGCAGATGTATGTGCAGGTCCCATGGAAGGCCAGGCTGCTCCAGGCCCCTCTCCTGCCCATTGGATCCATGTGTAGCCAGACACTTCCCTTGCCTTCTTGTCCATGAGCTGGGGGGAGTGGGAAGCATGGTCCCCTGGGCACCTAGGACCCCTGTGAGGCAGGGCCCGCTGTGCAGGCCACTCATGGCCTTGCTGTCAGGACATCCTTGACCTCTGGCCCAAGGACTGTTGCTTGCTGCTCACAGAGGAGGGCACGGCCTCAGGGACAGTGTCTGCAAGAATGACTGACCGCCTCTCCCTCTTCATTCTCTACTGCCCGAGCAGCCATCGCTGAGGGGCAATCAGGGTATGGACCATGAGCTACATCCAGCCAATCAGACCTTTTAACCTGGCCCTTGAGCTGGCACAGGGGAGCAGGGTTGGGAGCTTGTCCTGCTCTGGTGCTCCAGTAGGAGAGCAAGGTCAGT